TCCACTACGCCTCTGTTAGATTTTCCCAGATCTAAGCCCTGCAGTGTTAAGCATCATCTAATTGCTGTCAGTTTTTTTGTTAAATCCTGCTCTCTGACTGAAGTAGTGGATGCAGGGATGGGTGACCAGCGGAACCCTAGGTAAGCTGTCAAACCATTCTAAAAACTTACTTACTGACTTACTGACACCATAACCAATACAGTATGCTGCCCAGTATTGGGAATACTGTTTTTATGCACAGTAGTCACAGAATGGGTGATTTAAGGAATATGATTTAAAGAATAGCAGAAGAAAGTTAGATATAGGCTAGGAAGCTATATAAAGTTAGGGATTAATTCAATAAAATAGGAATTGTGGAGAATTGATAATACTAGGCCAAAATAGCTGTTTTGAAAATATATCCCAACTTAGCTTATATTTCAATCAAGTTGTTTATGCCATAGAATCTGCTACCGCCTTGTCAATTTTATTTTCCAGGGTCCCTAGTTTAGTGAATAAACCCAGTAGTTACAGGCATCAGATATTTAAAGAAACACTCCAAACACCATAACTACTTTATCTCTATTAAGTGGTTATGGTGTCTGGAATCCCAATGTGCAGTCTTACGTTTTAGCGTTGAACTGTTTTCAAAAGATTTGGGCTGATGCCAACTGAATGAGGGTGTCAGCCTATAAATGCCCAGCAATTGCAAGTACAGGTGTATGCACATTTACTCGCAATGGTAGTGATAAGCTGAAAGTGTCAGCTGGTGTTGTGGTGTCCCTACTACTTCTGTGTTAAACTGCCCAAAAATGGTTTAACACTAAAAGTTAAGATGGGGCAATGTGGCACCAGGAACATTAGACATAACCAGTTCATTAAGATGAAGTGGTTATGGTACTGGACTGTTCCTTTAATGTCACCTGTCATTCTCAGAAATATGTGGATGAAAAGGCCCTGACCACTTCCAATTCAGCCTCCTTTTGTGATATAGACATTAGTGATATCAAATCCACTCATGTAAGGACCAAAGTTCCCAGTCAGTGAATTTATTACAAATATGAAAAACAAAATCGATATATCTGTTGCAGAAAATAAACTTCCGTTTAAGGTATAGAATAATTGGACTGAAGGTACCCATACTGGCAGTCTGCAAAGCACTTGCTCTGACAGAGTCAGCGGTATAGAGATCAAGTTGTCAGACAACTATTTCTTTAACCATATTTTCGCAGAAGATCAACCATGCAGAAATGTAATTGGTAGAGGCCATCTTCAGATGTCTATCTCAGAATTCTGGCACTTTGTAAATCACGTTATCTGACAAATGATTGTCTGCAGATTATATCACTTTAGTCAGACAGCCAACAGTATAGGATCACTTTGTTAAGTAACTATTTCTTTATACGTTTCTTTGCCAGGAAGGTAACTTTGCATTGTTGGAATTGATTGGCGTGACCATCTTCAGATCTATAAGTTGGACTTCTTACACTATGTAAATCACTGTGCTGGAAAACCATGCCTCTATAGATTTACCTGCCAGAAATATACTTTAATGTTAAACTATTTGAAAATGATTTAACACTTGAATATAAAAAGGCGATAGCCCTAGTGATCACTGCAAAAGGTCTTTATATCTCCTCCATATTGTCAATATATTAGTTATTATAGGGTGTAGTAGCAGGTTTAATCTTTGCATATGGCAAGTGACCCATGTTAATGACTGAAGGGGTATGTCTGTAAAACCCTGCTCCAGAGAATGCCATGGTTGTTATTGTTTAAGGTTAGTCCTTTCTTTTATTCTAGCAAGGACTGCTGCTGCATAATAATGAAACATACTGGGCAATCCCAGCCCACCTACAATTTTTATGTCTGGTTAGAATATTATATGCTAGCCGAGGTTGTTTATAAAGAAAGGGAACAATGTTTCTCCTAAGGTTTATAAATATGGAAAGGGGCATAGCTATCGGAAGGGTTCGAAACAAAAATAACATTCTAGGGAATATCATAATTTTGATAATATTTATACGCCCCATCATAGAAAATATAGGTTTATTACATCTGCTCACATCCTCTTTAATTTCTGCTAAGTGTGGCGAGTAATTAACTTTGATAATATTATTAATCGAAGATGTTATAATAACATATCTAAGTCCCCCCGAGCCCACCCAAAATCAAATAAACTGGCAATTTCACTTTTTGATTTATTAGAGATCCCAATACCCAACATTTCACATTTTGATATATTTACTTTGAAGTTAGAGACCTCCTCAAATATATTTATTCATTATTTACCTGAACTAAGGAGCTTTTGGGTTCAGTTACCGTCAGCAGGACGCCATCATCAAATGCTGATATTTTTAATTCACCTCCTGAAAATCCAAATCCTTTGATTTGATTTTTCCTTATTGAGTGTAATAGGGGTTCAAGGGCCAAAACAAATAAAAGAGGGGATAAATGACACCCCTGCCTCGTTCCATTTTTAATATAAAAAAATTAGAGTATTGCCCATTTACCTTAATTCTTGATGTGGGTTCTAAGTAAAATACCCAGAATCTGAACGGGATTAAAATTTAGTAAACTGGGGCATATTGAAATACAAAAGGGTAGATTTCATTAATAGAGTATTAAGAAGGATATTATAAGCACCACAGCCGAATTAGGACTTAGAATTAGTTTTTTTGCTCTTCGTTCTTTCTTTTTTCTCCTTTTCTCCCCTTCTTTTTGCGGTCAGAGATCTCCAGTGGAGACCGGCTATATACAAAGTAGGATTTTTTTAATTTATTTTTTTCACTATCAAGTTAATTAAGAGGTGAGAATTAGATTGATAGAAGAGTGACATCATTAAGATATTGATATACAGCTTGGAATACAATGTTGATTTGTTTTTTTTTTAGGTTTGTTTATTTATTTATAGTTTGTTTAATATTTATTGTCTTTACTCCTGGGATACCATGAACTTGCCTTACGAATGAGATCATTCTAAAAGATGAGTAATATGATGAGATAATAATGTAAAATGTTATGCGTGAATCAATGCTGTATTGTATGGTATTGTATTGTATCTCAAGAGAATGTAAATTTATATAAAATAATATAAACATTTAAAATAAAACAAATAAACTCAATACACAGACAACTGCCGAGAGCCCCTGCCGTGCAAAGCTCTCATTGAGCTGCACTAGGAATTATGTGATTGGACAGGCACAGAAAGTCTGGGCTGGGTCAGAAGAGGAAGGCTTGAAAAGGCTGCGGACAAGAAATCTGCAGCTTTTGCAAGCTGTTTTAGATATACCTCCAATGGAAAAAAAAGTATAATTTTAAGCATGCATGTTTTCATCGAATGGAAGCAACTGTCCAAGAATTTGAGCTATATGTCTGTTCAACCATAATTTACCTCTTCCATATTAAGTGCACCAACACTTATTATATCTTATTTGGTTCAGGAGAAATAGCGACTTTCATATCACATCATATATTTATAAATTAATCCTAATTTAATATAAATAAAATCTAAAAACGTGTGAGAATTTAAGACATTTTTCCAAGTTCTGCATGGCATTTTAACTGTGAATATCATAAAGCTGTTAGCTTTTACTGCAAATGAATACACATATTTATATGATATGATATCCCACAAGTACAACAATGATCCCAATGTACAGGTTTCATGGTGTTTTGGAAAGTTAAAGAGTCAGATAAAGAGCTTGTCCATTTCAGTTTTTACACATCGAAATTTGACAGATTGGTTTGCTGGGTCCATGTTGCCTTTGAGACTGTATGGTAGAACAGGAATAAAATTTACCCCATCATGACATACCATATGCAAAAGTAGACAGCCCAGGGTGTCACGGAACTCCATTACTTTATGGACTAAACAGGGCTATTTTCACCATGAAAAGGGGGGTATGGAAACCTCATGTATGCTTATTCTGCCTCCCAGCAGAAATTGGGGACCTCTAAGGATTGCCTAAACCCCATCCTATGCATCGAGCGCCTGAACAGGATATACTCTGAAATGCTCTGAAACGGTTTGCCAGATTGGGACTGTGCTGGAACCCGGTGAATCTTTGTGCAGGTATCTCTTGGTCCCCAGACCACCAATCACGTTGCTATTTTGGGGAGCATGGGGAGTACATCGAAAGCTATACAGGAACATATAACATGTGTGTGTCTTCCCGAATCCCCAGGAACCCCTTTTTGAAAGATCGGGGAAAAACAGCCATACACCTGGAACTCGGATCAGAGAATAGCCATAACTTGGGCACAGATTCTCTGATCAGGGTCAAAATGTTTTTTGTTGGGGACCTTTTGTACATTTTAGGGCTATATGTTTGGAAGGCACAGCAGGGAGTTTATCTGGTTAGCTGGTGATTTAGAAAATCAAAACCCCAGACAGAGTGGCACTGTGGTGGGACTATTGTAAAAGTCATTGCATTGCATGTAGGATCCCCTCGTGTGCAAATCCACATTTGTGTGTATAAGAAACTGTGTGTTCAATAAAGCTGCACTCTACCCCGCTACATTTATTTTCGGCTAATGTGTGGGGAAAACTATCTATAAGCTGTGGCGAATGTGTCTGAAGCCCTCAAGGGTCCCTGATTGCAGGTAAAAAGCAAATTTGGAGAAGGCACTCAGCTAGAGTACAGGAGCTCCGTTACACAGGATATTCAAAATGGGATATGTCCAGTCTATTTTAGTAGCCCCAGACAGGTGGGGGTTATCCCAGTCCCCTCAAGGCTGATCTAAGCAGTTTTGCTCACATTTACCACTCCACCTGGGTTGCAGCGCACCTATCTCTGACACTTCAAAATGACTGGTGCCTTTCTTTTGGAATCGTATAACAAGAGTTACATACAGAGAGTTTCCTGCAACTTCATTGCTGACTCCATGCTGAAATCTTTCAGCGCTTCTGGCTGAAGATATAGCAACGTACTATAGCTTCAAGGCCAAAGTAAGGAGGGGAGACGAGAGAGAGACGAGCAGCCGGAAGTTAAGGGGCACACACAAGGCGACATGCTGGAGAAAAAGCCTGTGTAACAGGGGCTCCCAATTCCAGCGCAGAGTCTTTGTTGGCTGTGAAGTTATTTTTTTTGACACATAAGCAAAGAAATACATTTACTTTATTTCTTTATGTTTACTATCAAGCTACTTTTTATTATTGTGATGAAGTACCTTATAGTTTCTATTTTGCCTGAGGTCATATATACTGCAACTTAACTAGCGGGATATTCCTTACTTATAATTAATGGTACTCACCATGTCTGGAATGTCTCTTAAGCATGTGTGTTATCTATACTAAGGAATGGGTTTTTTATTAGCTTAGGATTCTGTTTTACTTTAACTACTACTGTTTTATTACTCAGACATGACAGTTCAGTTGTTTAATATTAGGCCAAGCACCAGAACTATCAACCAGATTTTATTATATGTTAAAAAAGGTTAATGACAGTTAATGACGGCACATGCAATAATACTGTTATGTTCCACCAGCATTCTATTGTGCATATTATTATGTTTTGAAATGCTCTTTGTCTGACGTTTGTTTTTACCAGCACATGATGCAAACTACCCTGCATTACAAACATCACTACTGTAATGTCATTATTAGGTTGTTTTTTTGCAACATTCACAAAAAACTAATCACATCTTCACTGATCTAATTGTCTCTATATGTTTTACTGCTCTAAAATACTCATATTTGTGTTCAGCGATGTTTTACGAGTACAACAGTATCCTACATGTATAGGTCTTGCAGATTAGCTTGTATTTTTTAATTATATATTGGGGGATCTACCTGACAACCCAGGCAGTCCTGCTGCAGCCAAATCTTGTAATCAAGCCAATTCGAGTCATGACTGTGGTGTCATTGCAATCACTATAATCACTGAAAGCAGAGTTGCGTGGAATAGGCATAGGAGGGATGACACCTGCCTGGAAGGAGAGCTTTGACCACTGGAAGCTAAACCCAGGACCCTGGTCCAGGGTGAGAAGCTACTGCGAGACCCTGACCATGTTGCGGCAGCTAGGGGCTGAAGTGCTGATGGTGTCCCGGCGATAGCTAGGAAGCCTGTTTGGTGGTGGTACCCAGTCGGGTACCAAGCGGTCCGTCACATCCATTTCTTGCATCAATATACAAATGCTTTAATAATTGTCACAGAGTAAAAGAGCCCAAGGTTTAATGGATATTCTCAAATATTGCACTTTTTATCATTCATTTCTTTGTTTGGATTAATAAACTTTAGTCAGTTATACAAGACGAGCAATATTCAGATTATTTCAGTAATATCTACATCCATTGTAATACATATTTGCTCTATTCTGTATACATTGTCATGGTTTTTAAAATGTCCTTTTGTTAAATTATCCCCTCTGTTTAAGTTTCCTGCTCCTCTTTCACCACGTTCACCTGAGCCTACGCAGTTGAGATTGATGAGATTATCAGAGGCTGAAAGCAGTACAGACGTAGGGAGAGTTTATGTCTGTATTGTGGGGAAAATGGATATCTAAGGATTGCCAGTACTTAAACAGTCCTGAGTGTGGTGATGATGATGTTTTCTAAACAGTATCTCTCAAACTTGGGTTACTACATGCCACCAAACCTTTGCTTGGTGAATTTTGCCTGATTTGCCAACATTGTTTCTCTTCCTTTAAGGATAAGGGACATAGATCATAAAAGACATAGATGATAGACCCTTCTAGGGCTTAAAATTTAAAGGACCACTCTAGGCACCCAAACCACTTCAGCTTAATGAAGTGGTCTGGGTGCCAGGTCCCTCTAGGATTAACCCTTTTTTATATATAAACATAGCAGTTTCACAGAAACTGCTATGTTTATAATAGGGTTAATCCAGCCTCCAAATCCTCTAGTGGCTTTCTCATTGACAGCCGCTAGAGGCGCTTGCGTGAATCTCACTGTGAAAATCACAGTGAGAACACGCAAGCGTCCATAGGAAAGCATTGTAAATGCTTTCCTACGAGACCGGCTGAATGCGCGCGCACAGCTCTTGCCGCGCGTGCGCATTCAGCCAAAAGGGAGGAGAGGAGGAGGATCGGAGGTGGAGAGCTCCACGCCCGGCGCTGGAAAAAAGGTACGTTTTAACCCTTTCCTCTCCTCAGAGCCGGGTGGGAGGGGGACCCTGAGTCATGGCAAACAGCGGGGCCGGCGCTAGGAGAGTGCCGGCCCTGCATAGACGGCAGGGGAGATCCTGGGACCTCCCCTGCCGGCCTCTGCCCATGGCCACCGCGGCCCACCGGGCATTTGCCCGGTGTGCCCGATGGCCAGTCCGGGCCTGGAAGGATGTTATACAAAAAGATGCCATATCCCTGTTCTCTCTATTGGCCCACACAGCACTTAATATCAAAGAGAATCCTAAAAAGAGCCTTCTCTCTAGATTAAAAAAAAAAGGAGGGGGGGGGGGAATCTTCTGAAGTATTTGCTAAAGTGTGAGATGCAAGGGAAGTAATTGTGAAACACACTTCCAGGATGCTTAGGGCATGCTCACGAACGCTTGGGCATCTGAGCTGGAATGTGGCTTATGAACAAATGTAAGGCATTCTGTCTATAGTATAGTGATGTATCCGAACATATACTATCATGGCGCCCATGTACATGACACACTGGGCCGTGCCAGGACATCCTGGAGTACCATATAGGTGATAAAATACAGTTGTTTCTTTCTTTTCTTTTAAAAAGCCAAGCCCATAGCTAACGTTCCCCACTAGGGACAGTTTCACTTTCATGACTTGTTATTGCTTCTGAAGTGGCTCCTTAAGGTTGCTCTCTATATGCTCTCTTTAATTATGTATGCACACTGGAAGTTTGTCAGGAATTAAATGATTACATGAGAAAACAGCTTTGTTGCAGTGTTCAATAGCAAAATCAGTTCAATGATTAATGTACTTATAAGAGGTGCTAGACTGGGCATGTCTGATTTTAGAACAGGCTTTGGCTGGCATCCAACACAAAATACTAGGAGTGCCAGATAGAAAGTTATGAGTATTTTGTTTTGGTTTAACTTTTCATTTTGGTGGAAAAAATTAAAATAAAACAAGTATGCAATATTATTTACACTATTTGTTTTTTTATTTAAATTGTGAAGACTGTTACATAGTTGCATAAATGGCTAGGTTGAGAAAATACTAAAGTAATCAAGTTCTGAAAAGAAGACAAAAATCCCAATTGTAGCCATTTCTATTTATGCCACAAAAAGGGAAAAATATCCTTCCTGACTCCATAATGACAATCAGATTTCTACTTGGATCATCAGCCTGTTTACTCAATTATATCCTTGAATATTCTGTTAAACATCCTTAACCCCTTCAGGACGGAGTCAATAGTGCATGTTCTGATCAAAACAAAACGTAAACAAAAACTGGAATTTGCGCTATATGTCTGTTCACCCGTAATTCACCGCTGTCACATCAAGTGCACCCACACTTATTATATATCATTTTGTTCAGGAGAAACAAGGCTTTAATTTATCATTAACTATTCGTATATGGAACATCATTTATTATGAATAGAATGTAAAAAAAATTTGTATTTCCGTCTGACATTTTAGCTGTGAATGTCATAATACTGTTAGGTATTACTGCAAAAAAATGCCCATATTTGTAATCAGAGATGTCTCACGAGTACAACAGTACCCCCCATTAACAGGTTCTATGCGGCCGCCGGCGGGGAGGGAGACAGCCGCCAGGAGAGGAGGACCCGGCGGAGCTCTAACTTGCAGCTCCGCCGGGTTCCTCTCGCGAGATCCGGCACGTTGCCATGGCAACGACTGGATCTCGCGAGAGTGAACTCTAGCCTCACAGGCTAGAGTTCACTCACCCACGAGGACCACCAGGGAACACCGTCACCCAGTCCCAGCGTGCCGGACCCCCCCTCCCAGGCTAAAGGTAAGAAGGGAGGGGGGACATAATGCTTGTTTTTTATTTACCCCCCCTACACACACACAATAACATTTATACAGCACTCTTACACCCATCACACACAGCACTCTCTCACACAGCACTCTCACACTCACAGCACTCTCTCACAGAGCACTCTCCGGCACTTTCACATACACAGCACTCTCTCCCACAGCACTCTCACACCCATCACACACAGCACTCTCACACAGCACTCTCACACCCATCACTCACACACGGCACTCTCACACACACGGCACTCTCACACACATCACACACACACGGCACTCTCACATACACACCGCACCCCTCACACACACACACATACTGCACCCCTCACATACACACAGAACCCCCCCAACACACTGCACCACACACATACACAATACTTCCAAATATATATATATATATATATATATACACACACACACACTACACTCTTAAGATACACACTCTGGATCCCCTATACACACACTAGATTCCTTGTAAGCAAACACATACTACACCCCTAAACACACACACACACACTATAGCCTGTATGCACACACTTGCTATATCCCCAATACACACATTCTCTACAGCCCATAGCCACATATGCATCACATTACACCACAAACACAACACGACTAAACCCGACCTTATTACACAATACCACACCACGACCAGCTCACTCTACACACACGCAATACCACAAGCAGGCTCCAAACACATGCACAATACTCTTCCTGGCCCTTTTGTCTCCTGGTATCCATTTATAGAGACACCAGAGACAAGTTGCAAGGAAACACAGTGCAAGCATGTTTTTAAATTTGCTTGCACTGTGCAGAACAAATACAGGGCTTTTTTCTCATGCTAGAGCTCTTCAGCAGAGCTCTGCGCATGGTCTGCCCTGGAAGAGCATTGAACCAACATGCTCACTTTGAGAGGAGGCGTGTTTGTCATTGGTAATGACAAAACACACCTCCTCTGCCCCGCCCCCTTTTTAGTGGGCCGCTGTGTTAAAAAAAATGCCCGGGCCGAATTTTTCTCCCAGTCCGGCCCTGCATCCTTCCACATAGAACCTGACGCCTCACATGAAGATTCCCAAAAGTGTGGTGACTCTCAGGACTCAGCCTTTCAAATGATGTATGCAATCCCCTACGCAGGGATACGCATCCTTTGGCACTCCAAATCATGTGGACTACACCTCCCTTAATGCTCTTACAGCCTTAATGCTGACAAAACATGGGAGATATAGTCCACAACATCTAAAGCTGAAGGTTGCCTATCCTTGCCAACCCACATCCTACTATGGCTATTGAAATTTATTCAAGGTATAGTATAGAGAGAGACACAAGAACACAGATATACCAGCACAGAAAAGTACTCCGAAACACAAATGTACCTAGACACATGTAGGCACACACATATATATATATATCTTATCAACACTTGAATGTCAAATTAGGTCTTTATCAAGCTTGATAAAGACCTCATTTGAGGCTTAAGCGTTGCTGCTGTTACTTTATGCACGGATCTTCATTAAATCTACTATTTGATCATTCTTGAGTGCCCAAATCAATTTTGTTTTTCCATTGACATATTGGGATTTGCCAGCCTCAGGTGCAGATTTGCACCCTGGAGTGCGGTGTCCTTCTGTTTCATATATAGTGTGTTTATTTTATAAAATATTAGCTCTTAAAAAATGCATGTTATCTCTGCAGACACACATTGAATTAACTTGGATTAATGGAATTCGTTACCAAAATGTAAATACTGCATAAAAATACAACCTCATGGTACATAACTAATCCCTATTTTATACTGAATAGCCTTTGGACTGTTATGTATCTTAAACAGAAAATTATCTTTGGGCAGACTTACCTCCAAAACATTTTATTAAATGAGATTCAATTTAAATTTAAAAGCCCCCGATGAGCAGTGGGTGGGGGCCCAAAATGACAATGGGGGGGAACATACTGCCTCCCCCCGGCCCCCACCCGTGAGCAGTGGGTGGGGGGCCCAAAATGACAATAGTGGGGGACCTATTGTCCTCCTTCCATGAGCGGCAGGTGGGGGTCCTAAGATACAATAGGAGGGGGCCCTACTGCCTCCCCCCGGCCCCCCACTTATGAGCGGTAGGTGGGGGCCCAAAATTACAATAGGGGGAACCTACTGCCTCCCTCCGGCCCCCACCCATGAATAGTAGGTGTGGGCCCAAAATTACAATAGGGGGAACCTACTGCCCCCCCAGGTCTAACCCATGAGCAGTGGGTGGGGGCCCAAAAGGACATGGGGGGTCAGACCTACTGCCTCTCCTCGGCCCCACCCATGAGCGGCGGGTGAGGGCCCTAGTGAAAATAGGGGGGAGGACCAATTGTCGGCTGGTTGGGGCCCTAAATGACAATAGGGGGGAACCTACTGCCTCCTAGAGGCTAATTGCCCCATTTGCAGGTTCGTGCTGTATGGAGTGTAGAGCGGTCATGCGGCAGGGATGATTCGGGCAATAGGCAGCAATTCCATGCTTGTGTATGGTACCCTTCTGGCCCAAGGCCTGTGAGAGAGCCTGCGCTGGACGAGGGGTTGAACCACAATCACAGCTGCGGAAGATCTGTGGTGTTTCGTCAATCTGCTTAATTGATGCCTGTAGTTGGAAGACTGCTGGCATAGAGATGATGGAATCCATTGAGCTGTGAAGGGGTACCCTACCAGCTCTAATCATGGATGCGATCTTGCCTCATTCTACCAGGAATCAGTCCACTGTTGGCACCTGGAAGCAGGCCTCTTGAGAAGCCTGATGTGCATGGCTGGCTCTGTGGAGCTGGGGTATTCTGATGACATGGCCCACACTTGCAGGTACAGTTCCCTCTCGGATGCCTTGTCGGTGGGGTTAGAAGGCAGGTATACTTCGAGGCAGTGTTGGCATTAGCCTGATACTCTGGAACATATGCATTACAGCTGACAGAGTCAAATGCCTCAGAGAAGGTTCTGTGCTGCCTGTTGCTCGTTGCTTGAAGTCTTGACAAGCCGCCATCCTAGGTGAGTGTAGCATATTTCGGCCAGGGAGGCGCGTGTTGCGGGCAGAAGGTCCGGTGGTTCTCTTGGTCCCTTCCACTCTCCAGCTGGTGTTCACTGCGTGCTCGCTTCACCCTTCGTTTAGGTCAGCGGCGTGGTTGTGGGTTGCCGGAGCGTTTGGTTAGGTGCTCTGAGCCGCCGCCATTTTTGCTTGTGGGACCTGGGTGTACAGCGCCCTTTATTCGGCTCTTCATTCAGCTCGGTAGTCCCAGTGGGGACCAGGATGACCCCCCCCTGGTCCAGAAGGGGGGAAACAGGACCAGCAAGCCCCCAATCCTCCAGCACGTGGCAGTGTGGTGGGGAGACAGGGCAGCGGCCGTCCACACCGCTCCCCACGGGTAGGCCGCAGCCTCCTAAGCCTCGTGTTCCCCGTGGAGGGTCCGAGGCTCCCAATCTCAGGGTCCGTTCGGGTAAGATAATCCACTTATTGTGGCCTAAGGGCCCGGTTCCTCTGGAGCCCCTCCGCCATGTGACCGGTCAGCATGGCAGTCCGGCCCCACCACGGGGGCGTAGCTGTTTTGAGAAATTTTAGGTTACTTACTAATAACAATTTATGTATCTAAAATGTCATTAACAGCAAGTACAGCGTATCTTATTTACAAAAACTGATATTGAAATACATTTATTGGAGCTTCTAGAAAAGAGGGACATTAGGGTAAAAAGAGGGACAGAGGGATTTGGTTCCAGAATAGTAATTGCCCCTCCTATATATAGACACTTGGGAGTTATGCCTCGATAAAAGTGGGAGCTTAATAGCTCAATATTTTTCTGTGTAGACACTCCAATCTCAGAAGATGAATTTGTGAAAAGAATAAGCAGTGATTTACACCCTACTTTGTTTACAGTCAACTTAATAAGAATAAATCAGTTTGCTCAAGTATAGGTGGTTGGGGATCGGGTAAATTCAGACAATTCTTGGCATGCTAAGCTACCAATACATGTTCTTGTGTGGTTGGGCACATTGAAAGATATAGTACAATAAACAATTCTAGCTGCTACGGTTTTCCCCTGTACTACCGTTATCTTTGTGTGGGGGTTGAGTAATAGATCTGCTGGCAAACCTTTGTTTTGCGTGCCATGAGTCTCAAAGGGTAAATGGTTAACTTTTCTTCATATGAGTGTATTGCGGCTCAATGGGGCTCACTGAAGCAAAGAAAGAGCATCTGCTCTTATAGTCATAAAGGGATAACATGCTGTTCTTGATAAGGCTCTATATTTATCATGTGACTGTGTCAATTTATCAAATGATTTGTCTTCGACTTGTTACATATGCAGCAATGAGCATATGTCACTTGATTCTCAAGTAGAAAGGGCGTATACGCATTGCTTAGTATGTAATTGTTAACAGCAGTTACATTTCTTTCAATCGTCTCTGACTTTACCCGTAGCTATTCATTTATTCAATAAAGGGACAATGCAGGATGTTGTCTATTCACGATTTTAATTCCATAATTCCTTAAAATCATACAAAAAAATAATAATTTTAAAACAAGAATTAGAAATATATTTGCTGAATTTACAGCTACTTCCAAGTCAGTAAGCAGTTAAAAGTGTCCATGGACAGTCTTTAAATGGTTGTTTGTGAAATATGTAGTTCAGAGCGCAGTAGTCTGATACATGAGACACAAATCCTGTCTTAGAAGATTCCGAACGGACCCACCCCTGTCGGTGGCCATACAGATCGTCATTGACCCTCCGCATAAGGCCTGCTCAAATTGTCCTTATTGACATACTTCCTTGTGTTAGGTGGTATGTAATTCAGGTACATACAATTACCAGTTTTTCAGCTCTGTCTTTGTCACGTCACAATGATTTTTACATGCAATGGAGGTTATGATCATATTTCTGAGACCAATTGGTTTAGGAGGAATCAAAACCTCATCATCTGCAGAAAACTGTTGTGATGAGCTGAGTTTATGATCATTGGTCCAGTTCTGTGTGTAAATATGCAAGAAAAAAGGGTATTTTTTATATACACCCCTATATACTTATTAACCCTTAATCGGGAACACATGGGATGGGTGGCTGCATTGTAACAAAGCTGTGAGATACAAAAGTGAATACAAATACAAAAAGATAAGTCCTGCGCTCACTCCCATCACTCCTGGGTGGCAGCAATGACCACAGTACACATCAGCCCAATATATAGTTAAAAACCAAAGGGAAAAAAAAAGTTACCTAAGCTCTTTCCTTAATCCCTATGTATATTTAGACAAATGGAGGTCATTTAGTTACTCCAATGGTCATTGGAGGGAATGCCTGCCTGCCAACGTCAAGCCTTCACCTTGCTTCCTTGAGCTTCTGGCAAAGATATCTCCACTGAGACAGAGAGGGTATTTTTATATACACCCCTATATACTTATTCCCTATTAAGGGTTACTGTATAAATCACTGTGAGAAGACGGTGGACATCCATAGGAAAGCAGTGAGTAATGCTTTCCTATGGGCAGTTTGAATGCGCATTTGGAGCTGACAAGCGGATCGGGGCGGAGGGATCCCCAGTGCCAAGGGAGTCTGGCGCTGGAGAAAGGTAAGTGCTGAAGGGGCTTTAAACACACACACACTAGCTAACAGACACACACATTTACTGACAGAGACACACTCAGTGACAGACATATATACACACTCACTGACAGACAGACACACATACACACTCACTTACAAAACATACACTCTCACTGACAAATACACACTCACTAACAGACACACACACAGTAACACACTCACTGTCACACAAACTAACACTGACACTCACTAGCAGACACACACTTAATAACAGATACACACACTAACACACACACAAACTAACACACACACAGTAACACACACACTGACACAAAAACTAACACACACTAATACTAACACACATACACACACACACTTTCATACTAACACACATACACACACTAATACTAACACACATACACACTCTAATACTAACACACATACACACACACACTCTCATACTAACACACATACACACACTTGAATGCTAACACACAAACACACACTCTCATATTAACACACATACACACACACTCTAATACGAACACACACACACGTTTTATTTTTTTTAAATGTGATCCCTCAGCCTCCCTACCTTTAGGAGTGCTGAGGGGATTCCCTGGGGTCCAGTGGGGCTGCCCGGCTACCGGTCCTTGCTGAGCGCTCTCTGTCCAGCTCCCTCGCGTGTCGCTTACTGATGCCGGAGCCGGAATATGATGTCATATTCCGGCTCCGGGATCAGTGCGGTGCGCGAGGGAGCTGGGTAGAGAGCACTCAGGGGAGAGTGCTCCCTCGCACGCCCGCCAGCCCGGTGACACCAGGGCCAGCTCCTGGGCCCACCAGGAGAAGAGGCTTGCCGGTATGTACGCCACTGGTGGCTGGCTAGCAAGCGCCCCTGCGACCCCGGTATGTACGCCACTGGTGGCTGGCTAGCAAGCACTGGTCAGCTGCCACATAATGGTTTTTATCTATAGGGTGACTAGTACTTAAAATTATCATCCACTTGCATGAATGCATTAATGATAATCTGTGAACATGCGTACGGTCCCAAATACTATTAAGAGCAGTGCTTTGTGAATCTTCCAAATCCTATACTTTGTATTGGATTCATATGTGCAAACACTGATCTTAAACCAGACAATAAACGCATCCAGGTAATTGCTGCAGATTTGCCCAGGTTGACCGAATACCAACCACACTTTAGTAAATATAAGAATTACCAATGTGTCAGAATTCAGTCATTTTCACTGGGTATTGTTCATCTGGAACAAATCTGATGTTTAGTGAATTTCCCCATTGAGATTTGAACCGTTATTTATTGGCTTCAGATAAGCATTTAACAGAAGGATGTGAATTGATCCAAACCGATAAAAGGCTTATCGGGAGCTGATTAACAACTGATGTTACATATCTGCATGTAATCAATGCCATATACAAAAAAGCACCAATATTTATTATATTTCTTTGTTGGGTGGGGGGGTTCCTTTAATTTGATTTTAGAAAAAAACAAACGTGCTTATATTTTTTATGCAGCTTATATTCTATTGTAATATTATGTATTTTTTGTGAAAATATTTTTAGAGTTTTCTCTAACTGGAAGCGGTTTTTACATGTTCCAGAAACAGAAAAAGAAAAAAGTTAACTGTTCGTGCTATATTATAAAAGAGTACCCAAGGTTTTAAAGTGTACCCTTACAAACACTTAAAACACAATAGTAAAGAGGGCGGAGCTAACGCATGCAACTGAACAGTCGCCATTTCTCTGAGATCCTCACGGGCCCAACAAAATCTGCCTAATATCTCATTCCCAACTCGCCATCCAACCTCGAAACCACGAAAACTGGACACAGGTTACTGAACCGCATCGACAGATGCCCTTTCAGTACACCCCGGGGAAAAACAAGCCGAGGCGCAGATCTGGGGCCTACCGCTACCCGAAGCCTCAAGGCCTAGACTCACTCCTCGATTCCCTCATCGGAGCGCACAGCTCAAACATCCCGGAGCAGCCCTGGTCACCCCCGCTGCCCAACACCCCGACTATGAAACGCCGAACACAGAAACCCGACAGGGACATAGGGGCTATGCTCCAGAGACCCGCGGCCTCGAAGACGCCAACAGCAGAGGCCGACCACGCCACAGCGGTCCCACAATCGGGGACAGAGAACGGGGACGTGGAACTCGGGCAAACACCCCACCAAGAGCCATCCCTAAGCTTACTGCAGGCTGACAGCATGGCACCGACCACCAAAGGTGACCTCAAACTACTCCTTGCAGACCTCCACAAAATGATGGCAGCCGACCTCGCACGAGTACGCACGGAAATTCATGCAAACACAGACCGCATTAAGGCCGTGGAGGAAAACATCCGGGATGTGCAGACTGAGATGGCCCATCTCAAGAACCCGATACAGCAGCTCAATACTCACCACCAGGCACTGGCGCAACGGCTGACAACCCTCGAGGATCAACTAAGGAGAAACAACATTAAAATACGAGGCATACCAGCGGCAGTAAGTGCTGAAGAACTCCCGCATTATATCCGGAGGCTGTTGGCCGCCTTACTCCCACCAGCGGTGGCCAAAAAAGTCACACTCGATGGCATATTCTGACTCACCAGCATGGCCAAGCTTTCCACCCCTGGGCCACGGGACGTAATCGTCCGCTGCTCCTCTGCGAAGGACAAAAGCCACATTATGGCGGCAACACGTGGTAAAACACCACTACAGTTTGAGAACTCCTCTCTAAATTTCTTCCACGACTTAACTAGGGCAACGCTGCAGTGGCGCAGACAAATGGGCCCCATCACGACTCACCTCCGGTCCAAAGGAGTGCCATACCGCTGGGGAACGCAAGGCACCTTGCTCGTACCCCGGAACGGAATGACCCACACGCTCCGCGCACTCACGGAGGCTCCTACGCTCTGCGCAGCCCTCGGGATAGAAACGCCAGACCTCAACAACCCTGGAAACACCACGAACAGAACATGGAATCCTGAGAATGTGATCCCCTTTGTGCCACGACATGGAAGCCTCTCCTCAACAGAGACTTGACAAGAGCGAAACCTCCGGCTGGAGCCCACTGACACACAGAAACGGGACTGAGCACTGGATAAACGCACTGTATATATATTTGTTGTTCCCTTGCTAGCTAGTTTCCTTGTTTCCCCCTACCACTGAACACACCAGAGCCATCCAAATGATAGAGGCCCAATAGCCCCTGCCGGTGCAGATATGGCGATACATCCCCCCCCCCGCACCCTGCGGTTACAGGGTAACACACCCGGATAACCCCGAAGCTCACAACCACTCAAGCAAGCAACAGCCATCTATCACAACATACCCACCGGTAAAGCTAGGACATCACCACACAAATAGCGGCAAGTCATACTCTCTCCCACAAACCACCATGCACACAGCCACCACACTACGCAATGCGCACCTGGATCTACCCTCTAGGGCAATGCACCCCAAGTGGGAGATCATACCCCCTGCCGACTTGGCCAGACCGTACTCACGGTACCCTACGCCCCGTAGCAGCGCCGCAATGTGGCAGAGGGCACATAAGAATGGAGGAGACAAGCTTGCTCACAAATGTAGGCACCACAAAACGTAGGTGACATAGTTGTAAATTGGCCCAGTGTTTGCCTATACTTTACTATTGTTTCTTGTTTTTATGGTTTAGACAGCTGCCTAGACACGTTAATTATGTCTCCCATGCCCTCCACCAGGTCATTGCAGCCACAACGAGAGGCCAGCTTTTGTGGTTAACCTAATACGCTACCTACTGCGCTAAAGCACCAGCCAATTGCCCACCCACTGACAGAGATAGGTTAAGCAAGGGGCTAGCTGCCTAATACCGTGAGCAGGAACAGTCTTGTCTTGTGATTGATTGATGTGCTGTCACACCACTGGCTATCATCTTGTTCCCTTTGATAACCCCCATATAAAAATGTGCATCGATTTCATATGCCACCTATGCAACTGTTATACTTTGTCAACCTCAATGCTTGTCATGGCTGTTGGGGCATGACTTGAATGCATGTTGAATTAACTCATGCACGAAAAAATAAAGAATAAAAAAACAATAGTAAAAAAAGAAGAAAAAACCAAAGGTACAAAACAGTGTAAATCACCAAAGTGACAAAGAATAATAAATATATACCAACTGGATATGTAGAGATGTTCTGTTTTAGAAATATATCTGAAAATACATAAAAACTATATAGTGTGATATTGTTACTTCTAAATAGAAGCAAAAATGGTAGAGAACTCACAAAATTAGGTGAAATCAGGCGTATCTCCCAAAATAGGGAACTGTAGCAATATGGAGAACCTCCAGCGATGATCTTATAGTAGATCTTCTCATTCACTCCAAGTAAAGAGAAAAAAAGATAGTGTAGATAGTACAAAATGTAACAATTTATTATAAATAAGTTGCACTTACAATGTTGCAAGTTAAAACCAGCGTGTCTCCACACCAGATGGTGTCCACATGCAATAGCTGATCCAATAGCAGCACAGGATTTCAGACAGCAGCAAAGAATAAAGAGTATAGATAGACAATTAAAATAAATAAAATAAAAAGTTCCAACGTGTTTTGTCCGTCTTGGGACTTCCTCAGGGATGTGTAGTACTAATAAGAATGAGAATCCTCTTTTATATCCACCATTAGATTGATAAATCATTCGCCGGTGTCAGCGTGCGTTCCACTGTGGAACGCACGCCGACACCGGCGAATTATTTATCAATCTAATGGTGGATATAAAAGAGGATTCTCATTCTTATTAGTACTACACATCCCTGAGGAAGTCCCAAGACGGACGAAACGCGTTGGAACTTTTTATTTTATTTATTTTAATTGTCTATCTGTACTCTTTATTCTTTGCTGCTGTCTGAAATCCTGTGCTGCTATTGGATCAGCTATTGCATGTGGACACCATCTGGTGTGGAGACACGCTGGTTTTAACTTGCAACATTGTAAGTGCAACTTATTTATAATAAATTGTTACATTTTGTACTATCTACACTATCTTTTTTTCTCTTTACTTGGAGTGAATGAGAAGATCTACTATAAGATCATCGCTGGAGGTTCTCCATATTGCTACAGTTCCCTATTTTGGGAGATACGCCTGATTTCACCTAATTTTGTGAGTTCTCTACCATTTTTGCTTCTATTTAGAAGTAACAATATCACACTATATAGTTTTTATGTATTTTCAGACATGTTCCAGAAACAAACTGTGTTTTATCTTTGTCTCTTTGGCCTAACAAAATATGGTCTTCAATTATATTCTTTCAGGCCCTATAACATGTCAGAAATGCCACAATAGCCACAAGGATTAGCTTTATCGTGTTGCCGAACTAATTAAAGAACTATTCTTCGTGTCCTACCTGTAACAGTGATAAGAAATTCTAAAATTGGAATAACTTGCTTCTGTTAGGAGGGCTGTCATCTTTCTTCAAGCTTTAATCAGTATGTTCCTGTCTACACAATTCTAGTATTTTATTTTTGGTATCCTGGGCCAACTCTGTGGAATCTTTCAATTACCATTCTTTCAAACTTTCTTCCAACTTGTTTTTTGCTGTAACAGTGTTAATAGCAAGTCATCTAATATTTTCTTATGTTTATTTTCCGTGGAATGCCAGATATTTGTACATTGTTTATTTTTACTGTGCTTGCCAAATTATTTATCCTGATCTCCGCTGATTATAGTGTCTATTTTTTCTATCACATTTTCCATGTGAACATTTTAACATCTGTGCCTGTATGTTCAAAACTG